TTCCAAGAAGGTCGCAGCATTTAACCTTGCAGGCAAAAGGTAAATAGCTGATTACGGTAGATACCAATCCAGACGTCCACACTAAATTCATGCTGATAAGCTCTTTCCCGAACTGCATGCGGATTTTCATGCGACCAAATATGTTGATTATGAAAATTTACCACTCCACGTCTAGTGAAGCATGACTCATCGGTCCATAAAACGTTACTTAAAAGCTCCCTATTATTATCAGTTCTATCAAGAAACTACTGACAAAATGTGATTCTTCGTTCTCCGTCCCGTGGCTGTAGTCCTTGCACAGGTTGCAAATGGTAAGGACGTCTATAGTCATTTCTAAGAACACGGTGAACATGGCTTGCTGAAATTCCCAAGGCACCAGAAACTCTCCTAACACTTGTGGTCGGATCTCTATCAAACTCACGCAGAATCATACGGGTAAATCTGCGCTGACGAATATTTATGTTTTGATCCCCTTGGAGATTTCTAAAACCATTTTCAATTATTTGGCGATGCACTCTTACAAATACTGAGCGAGTTGGATGTCGTCTGTTTGGAAATCTTCGTGCGTATTCTCTGGCTGCTTCTGCTGCGTTTCCATTCACAAAGCCATACACAAAATGAGTATCTGCTAACTCTTGATTGCAGAATAAGAATGGCATTTTTATAAAACTTACAAAAAAAACAGGTAAAAGAAACTAAATTTCGTGCATTCACAATTGCAAAAAAACGTTACAGGTTTCAACAGACAACAAAACTAACTTTCAACTAATTGACGTTTAACCTTATTCTGCTTTCAATTTCAAAAATATTTGCAGGCACGGCCTACTTTTAAAAAATATCGAGATACTGACTTTTTAACGTTATTTTATCATAAATAATTAAATATGCATCGAACCTTAAAAATCGAAATATCTCAAAAACGGCTATTTATAACGAAAATTCACAAGAGAGCTTTTTTATGTTGAAAGATGCGAAGAATCATTTTTTTATTCAAAAGGCAAAAAATTGCACTAAGAACAAATTTTCGGTCATTTTAATACACTACAGGTACAGTAGAGAGCGCCCTCTAGCGGCTACAGTAAAACTATGACCATGGTTCGTTTTGTCGTACCAGAAAACCCTTGTGTACCAATTTTCACTGTTATACATCAAATATTGTTCGAAATATTTAAAAAAAACTATTTTAGAAAATAAATTTAAACACCCTGTATTTCGGAAGCCACGCATTTTTCGACCCATGTTTATATAGACTTAATGCATTAATTTTAAAAGTTCTATCGAATCTTAAAGTTATGCAACAATAAACTGAAACACCCTGTATATAATGAAAAGAAAAGTTATTTGAAATACTGTAACAACAATAAAAAAAACAGGTTGTATTCCCGATCAACTGAATAATCCGGATGACATAAATAACCATTTTCTTCAGATCTCATCAATAGAATATGACACTTTGGATTACTGTTATAGCAATAGGCGCACTAACGTCAACCCTCTTTTTGAAAATCACAGTTTCTCAGGATGTCGTTAAAAATGCACTTCTCAGAATTAAATCGTTTGCCATAGGTGCTGATATTCTAAATCTTGAAATGATCTTATTGTGTTCCCATAAAATCATCCCCTACATTACAAATATAATAAACTACTGTATTTTAGATAGAGAATTTCCAGACTCATGGAAAATTGCCAAAATTTTACCAATATCAAAGAAGCCTGAAATTAACGACTACAATGGTCTTTGCCCCATAAGTATTTTACCATGTGTATATATGTATGTGTGTATATATGTATATATATGAATGTGTGATAGGTAAAGGGCAGCCCTTTTTTGTAACATATGTAATTTAAATGTATTTTGCTACTATTTTCACCTAACTGTATGTTGCAAATGAACACTACTGTTATTATTATTACTATTCTGGAAAAGATTTATAAAATATGACCAACATTTTCTGAAAATCTATAACTGCTACTAAATGTTTTGAGACTCATAAACATTTTTTACGAGCTGTCTAGCGACGTAGCGGCTAAAGCAAATTGTACATACAGGTATGACATCTCATTTCAAAGGTGTTTTCTTCGTCGGTAACTGCTCTGTAGACAACTTAGAAGAAAGCGATTTTTTCTTTTTTGATGTTGTTTACCCAGAAAAATTTTTGGTGTCTGTAAGCGAAAGATCTTTTCATTCACCCTTAAGAATGTAATTTTGCTGGCAGAATACGTCTATTTAACCCTTCTTAGAACAGGGTACGTTTTTCGCACAATGTGCCCCTAGGTAAGGGAATTAGAGTTACTCATCCGAGGCCAAGCTGAACTTGTAAATATTTTCAAATAGAAGAGATCATTTGATTAGAAAATTTTTGTAAATTCGATGCTACTAGTTATCATCTGGCATGTTTCAAGCTAGATTAAACGCTGTTCCGGCCGCCCGTTGGATAAATAATATGGATTAAATTAACGCTGCATAATGAAAGTCTAGCAAACTCTGCGGAATTTTAATTTAACTGAGTCGAATTTTCAGCCCGTCGGGCTGAGCTTGACCGGTTCAAGATACTCTAATAAATGTTTATCCATTATCTGGAATGCTGATGGGGCGTGTGCTCAATGTTATTTCAGCTAGTTGCGAATATGAACAGCAAATTGGTTTCTCGTCCAGAAATTGGCAGACTGGCAGACCAATCATTCAAGTATCCATGAATATTACGCAAACGTCTTTTGATCTTCCATGTTTGTCTGACTAAAATAAATCACATATTATAATATGTCTAAAATTCCTCTTTACTGTACATTTCGCTCCGTACCATATATTTAATTTATCCGTTTTCCAGGTGACACTTTGTTTTGTCTTTCATTTAAATTACACAGCATGTTACTACAATAGTCTGAGAGGGTAAGATGGCACCGCGTAAAACCAGCAAAGTTCAGGATCGCCGGGAGTCGTTTTTTAATGTACCAGACACGTAGCTCTCGTCCATCGTTCCGAAAGCGGCAAAACTCGATTGAAATCGCATAAACTCACCCAAAACTATTGTCGCAACACATCTCAAATATGTACGTAGTACCTTGACATGCAAAGGGAACTTTGTTGTTTGTATTGTAAGGAAATAATACAACACTCAGCAGTTAGTCCAAAGTGCAGCCAAATTATTTGTTGGCCGGCAGCCGCGTTGTCATACGAGGGATGTCTTTTAAGTTTTGCATATGGAAATAAAACAACACGGTAGGTAGTTTTAAATGACTTTATTGTTTTTCGAAGTATTCTCCACGAAGATTAATACTTATCTGCATGCGCTCGAACCAATTTTCGAATCACTTATTCCACTCGTTTGCTGGCATATCCAAAACGGCATTTTTGAATGCGTCAACTGCTTCTTCTGGTGACTGGAACCTTTGACCACGCAGTCTATTTTCGGGAAATTAAAGAAATCGTTAAGCCTTAGATCGTGACTATATGGAGGATGGTCCAATAATTCCGTTAAATACTGCCTTGTTGTTTGGGCTGTATGCGAGCTTGCCTTGTCTTGGTGGAGGATGATTCTTCTTTCGGGGTTGAATTTTTGAAGCTCGGTGACGACTTTTGACAAACACATGGTGGTGTACCCTTCTGCAGTAACAGTTCTCTGCTCATTAAGAGGAATTATTGCAATATGACCCGCTTTTGATACAAATGTCGCGACCATCTTTTTCGAAACACTTCGAGAACGGATGACTTTTGTTGGCTTTTCTTCACCTTTGAACATCCAGACAGCCGACTGTCGTTTATTTTCTGGTTCATAACAGTAAATCCACGATTCGTCACCACTAACAATGCTGCACACATTTTTTGAGTTTCCGGAATTCAAACGGTCAAGCGTTTTTTGACACCAATTAACCCTGGCTGCTTTCTGCTCTTCAATCAACAGGTGGGGTATCCAACGAGAAACTAATTTTCTTACTCCTAATTCTTCATGTAAAATTTTTTGAATTGAGGTCCTTGAGATCTTCAAGGACGCCTGAATCTCGCGATATGTCACATGTCTGTCTTTAATGATGAGTTTGCGCACAGCATTGTCGTTTTCCTGGGTGACTGCCGTTTTTGGTGCACCCACCCTGGGATCGTCGCTAAGACTCACGCGTCCACGTTTGAATTCCCCATACCAACGGGAAATTGTCGACTGATGCGGCGCTTCATTACCGAAAACAGGCAGTAACTCAGCAAAGCATTCATGAGATAACATCAAAAATGTAGCCTAAGCGCAAAGCCGATACAGTATCCACTTTGCCCGGTCATCTCCAGTAATATAATTTTATGGAATTATGGGTTTTCTCAAGTATTTATTATTACAGATGGTGAATAAATATAAAAAAGGACTGCGCAAGGTACTTGGAGTACATATGTCATGCAGACTGCAATCAGAGAGAGAGAGCAGGAGAATCTATCAAAGGGACTACTAAAAAAACGGACTTGCATATTCCACGCTATACAAGCATGTCAAAAGTGGAATTGTTTTTCCACAGCTCGGTCGATTCCGTCCTATATTCACCAAGGATCAACTGGTGACTTACCTACAAGATATGGATGCAGTATTTTTTGGCCTTACTCGGGATGAATTTATGAGTCTAGCATTTGAGTATGCACACCGGAACAATTTGTATCCTGATAGCTGGAATAAGAATCGAAAGGCTGGAGAAGAATGGCTGCAAAGATTTTTTATCACGATATACCAACTTGACACTAAGAACTCCAGAAGCAACATCTGTGGCAAGAATGAAAGGATTTAATCGCCGCAAAGTGAACCAATTCTATGAAAACCTTGAATCTGCCATTGAGAAAAATAGCATCGAAGCCTCTAGACTATACAATATGGACCAAAACGGGATATCAACGACCTCAAATAAGCCACCAAAGGTTATCTTCGTGAAGCGAAAAACAAGTAGGCATGATTGCAAATGCAGAACGTGGACAATTGACAACCATCATCGGATGTTTTAATGCAGCTGGTATCTTTCTTCCACCTTTCCTAATTATTGCAAGAAAGAAGATGCAAGCAAGACTTCTTGATGGAAGCCCGCCAGGGACTCAAGCAACGTGTACACCTAATAGTTGGACATCAGGCAAAGTCTTCTTAGAGCAAGTGAGGCCAACATCAGACATCAAGATCCTATTACTATTAGGCACCCATGAAAGCGACAAATACTACCCTGCACGTGAGTATGCCACCAAGAATAATGTCATATTATCCTTAGCACCGCATACTACTCACAAAATGCAACCTATGGATGTTGCTGTGTACGGCCCACTGAAATTTTATTTTGAAAGGGAAGTCAATATTTTTCAAAAATCTCACCCCGGTCGCATCATCAACCAGTACGATGTAGCTAGATTGCTAGCACCAGCTTTTCTCAAAACTGCTGTGGCCATCAAAGCAGTGCATGGATTTGAACGACCTGGAATTTGGCCTATAAACAAGCACGCTTTTGGTGATGAGCATTTTGCACCAGTCGAGGTACTTGCAGGTACATCCACTTCGAGTACTCAGACTGAAACTTTGCCCTCACTGGGAATAATCGATTTGCCTGAGTCCGCTGTTCAAACGTCACCTTTAATTGATTCTCATGATCAACCCACATTACCTTCATTGGCAAATGCCACTCAACAATCTGATTCCGTCATCAGCCATATTCAAGAAGAAATTACACCGATTTTAGAATCCATTAATCCTTTACCTGTTTCGTCGTTAGATGAATTTGAAGTTTTAGGTCGTTCTCAGCTTCAAGACGACGTTAATATGTATGCTGAAGACCGACCGTGCACTCCTATGGGATCTGACACTAAAAAAGAAACCCACGACAATTATGCTCCCACCGCGTCACCTGAACCTGGATGTCCTATGACCTACTGTAGTCGTTCAGTTTTAAGACCTATTCCTCAGCCTGCTAGACCAACAACAAAACGTAAACAGAAGTTACAAAGATCTAATTGACATACAAGTACTCCAGAAAAGGAAGAGCAGAAACAGATATTTGAAACAGCAAAAAAGCGTGTTACGAAGTTACTAGATGATGTTTCGACTAAAGCTTCCCAGAAGACTGTTAACAAGAAGTCTGTTAAATCTAAAATATCTGCTGAAAGCCTAAGAAGTGGTGAAATGTACATTGAAGAAAATGATCAACCAACAGAAAACTGGATACAATGTATTGGTACCATGAAAACTATTCAGCGTACGAAGGCGGTGATGATTTTGTTTGCGATAACTGCAATAGATTTGTAACAGAAAAATGTTATTTTAAATATTATGCTCTTTTTATTTTCAACGTTTTTTCTGTTTTAAGTTTTATTTTATTTCAAATAATGTTGTGCTATAGTTTGAGCTGGTACCACATAAACATTTTATTATAAATAAAATATTAAATAAATATGATGTTCTTCTAGTTTTGTTTGTTAGTTTAATCGCATGGTAAATACTGTTGTTATTCGCTTTGCCCAGGTACCGTATCCACTTTACCTGGGATCCCGGACAAAGTATATGCATCGTAAACAACTATTGTAAACTTGGCTTATAACTTATAACATAATTGGTATTAAGGGTAAATGCTGTCCAATTTCGTAAGCTCTTTTAATGAAGGCTGGTTCTACATATTTGTTTGAGCTTATAACTAATCGACAATAACCAAAAACAGCTTAAGCTTCACTTTGCCTTTGCCCGGGTTTCCCCTGCTGGTTGTGGTTGGTAACTGTCTTGGGGTATAGGTGGAGAGTCTAGTCTTTGAATTTGAAGTCTAAGCAATTTTTCAGGATAACCGTCACTGTATATTTTCCAGGAAAAGTTTTCCTCTATCGGATATTTTATGAATTGGTGATATTTGCTAGGTTCTGTCAATCATCTTGCCAATGTCAATGCTTTATATATGGAATCAAGGCAACAGTAAAATAGATCTTGAGCAGTTATTCCTAATGAATCATAAAGTACCCCGGATAAGACTATGTATCAGACAAATCACCTTCTCGACGCGCCCTGGACACCGAAGACATCGCCTTGCAAATTCAAGTCGTATTTCTTTGCGTACCCAATCGCGCTTGTATTGTCCTCGACCAAGGCAGGCTATTTCGACGTGAAATTTTTCGAGTTTGGCGGCAACAAGGCAATCAAGTACATCGTGATGGCGATGGCGAGAATTTCGAATCAGGCGTTATTAGAGCAATAGCAGAAATGGCCACAATGGCGACAGTAGTGCCATTACCGTCGCAGACTCGACAATAACTTAAGGAAATGCTCGCCGACCAGCAAACAAAAGATAGCTGCCGAGGAAACAAAGGTTCGACGTCGAGAAAAATGGCGCCGGCAGCATTAGAAATGAATAGAGTGATGGAGGGCGTCAACCTGATATCGACGGTAAGACTGGATAGCAAACTTGGGAAATACGGATTTCTTTGAAATCATTAATACTAGGCATTTCATCGAGTACCCGATCTCACACACACGACTTGTTAAGTCAAAGAAATGTTTTACGAAATGAGTGGCAACATCTGTTAAATGGAGTTTATAAATGGTTTTCCAATCACTGGCTTCATTTGAATTGAGATAAAATAGCGATAGTAAGATTTCACAATGTGCAAATAAAATTAGTACCGCTAGATTCACAAATAAACAATTTCGATTTGGGCATTTCAGGCAATACCAAATTCTTAAGGTTGTACTTGGACGAGTGCGTTGATGTCGCACACCACTATAGTCATGTGGTCTCAAAGTTGAATACCTAATCACATGTTTTTAAAAATCTACTCAAACCTTAAACAGAACGGCAACTTCTAACACTCTATCTACTATGCACAAGTTGAGTCAAGCCTGAGGTATGCTTCTTATGCATCTGTGGCGTCTGTACTAATGCACAGGACGTCTTTCATAGTCAAAAGGTTATATGGCCGGGGTAAACGCAACTCAGAACTGCAAAGAGCTTTTCCATTTTTATAAGATCCTGACCCTGCCGAGATATTTATCTATGTTATGAACATGCATATTACACCAAAACAAAGATTGGCACCTGTTAAATAAGGATGTACACACCTTTTACTCTGGGCAGAGTGATGAGCGTCTTGTACGAAAACACCCTGTATGTTACTTGTTGTGCATTTTATCCAACTTATTGATATAACGAATCCAACAGATGTTACTATGTCAAATGGATAATGCATGATAAGTACTATTATTATTGTTGTTATTAATTCAATCTGTGATATGGAAAACCTGAGCTCATATGCCTTTCTTGAGCTTTTCTTAAGACATTAACGCACCATCAAAGAAATAGTCAAGAATACAACATATTATTGCCAAACACTTACCTGATTATGAGTTTTTTTAGGGAATGTCGGCCATCTTCTGCAGATGTTTGCGTAGCTTATCTTCTATGTGCATACAAAATGTTACTGCTACATGTTTATCCATAAAAAATACAGCATGGAGCGGCTACCATGTTCTTTTAAACTATTTGCTCTTTTATCTTTAATGCGAACACAAAAAACAGCAAAAACTACAGAGCAAGGTAAAAAAGAGCCGACAAAAGTAGAATAGTAGCGTAAAAACGGATACTCCGCGTGCCTGCAAAAAAATGTTGACCCAAACGTATATAAGGATAAAGGTAGCCCGAAAACCTGTAGAATTTAAATTTAGTGTTCGCCGTTACCACAAACAACATGGCAGCGAATCTATTAGATAACCTTTCGAGATGTGAACAGCTTGAGACTTCGCATTACTAATAATAAAATATGCTAACCTAGGACGCTACACTTCCAAAAAGGATTGTCTAATACACACAAGTGTTGAGAATAAACGGCCTTTCAAAACGCAAATATAACCTTTATATCACCAAAGGTGTCTGAAACACAGGAAAATATCACTTTTTATTTCAATAAGTGTTCAGAATGTTTCCTGTTAGGGTTTGCCAAATCTACAATTCGCTTATAGTTCAAAACGGAAACTACCAACATAAACAGCAATTCGGAAGATTAGACGTGGCAATAACCAAATAACAACCCGAATTTTTTTCCGTTTCTCTTCATCAACACAGATATCCTTAAACTGTATTTATTGTTATACATGTTCAGTTATTTGTGGCTAAGGGAAAGAAATAATTTAATTTGCTGTCAGTTACGTTTGTGACAATCTTGGATAGTGAAAATTAATCTATTGATTCTGACTTTACTTCCAAAATGATTTACAGGCTAGCCGAAAGAGTGGAAATGATTCTTATACTAAGTGACATATAAATCCGAACACCCAGTTTAAATGGCTTTATTTTAATAAAATTTTGTATAAGTACTTAATGAAGCATAATAAGTAAATGATAAAAATTTCAAAATGATTGCACTGCTTTAAAGCCCTTTGACCTTTAATAATGTGTGGATGCACCCTGATGTGCTACGCATTCTCCAGCGCGCCTAGGCATGCTTCTGATCAGGTGGTCAATGTCCTCCTGTGGTATCTCATTCCAGGCAACCACCAACTCCTCTCGAAGTGCTTCTAGAGTCTGAGGAAGACGTTGCAAATTGAGCAATCTCCTACCCATCATATCCCACACGTGCTCAATTGGGGATAAGTCGGGAGATCTAGTGGCCATGGTAACAATGTGACATCACTATGTTGAAAGAAGTCTATTGTGACTCTTGCAACATGTGGTCGGGCATTATCTTGTTGGAAAGTTGGATCTGCCAGGGTGTCAAGATAGGGTAAAAGATGGGGTTATAGAACTTCGTGGATATAACGCTGCGCGTTCATGTTACCTCTGATGAAGATTAAAGGTGACCTGGAACCATAAGCTATAGTACCCCAAACCATAACTCCAACAGTGTGATGAATATGTCTTTCAACAAAAAACTGTGGATTCCTCCTTTCACCACGTCGCCTTCTAACCCTGGCACGACCATCGTGCATGCCTAAACAAAATCAAGACTCGTCACTAAAGACAATACTGTTCCATTCCTGATCCCAAAGTGACCGTTGTCTGCACCACTCAAGGCGATTACGTCGGTGTTCTCGACAGAAAGGGAGGACCCAGTGTGGCCGGTATGAAAACAAGCCAAGACTTCTCATTCGTCGGTAAACACTTCGCATGCCAATAGGTCTTCCGTATTCTGCAAACCATTCATTTGCAATGGACCTGGTAGTGGAGAAACGGTCCCTTAAGGCCAATAATCTTAGGCGGCGATCTTCACGGTCTGTTGTTCTACGGCGGCGTCCACTGCCCCTTGCTCTTTGCGTACGGCCTTCTCGAAGCCATGCCTGACAACACCCAACGACAGTGTCTAAACTTCTTTGCACTCTAACTGCAATTGCCCGAAAAGAAAGTCCAGCTTCCTACTATACGGTCGCTATCAAACTCACTAAGTTGACGAAATCGTACAGGTCTCCGTACTCTAGGCATCTTAACCGATCGTAAAGGATGTCAAGAACCAAAATCCGCCAACGTTGATTCTTTACTGCGGCTGAAATACTCATTTTTAGAGCGTTAGTGAATTAAAAAAAGCAGTATAAAAATCGGAATGTCCTACTGATACGGCTGAAAATGTTTTCACTTGTTATTTACAGTAAGATAAATACATTCACCAACTTTTATTAAAATAAAACCATTTAAACTGGGTGTTCGGATTTATATGTCACTTAGTATATTTGTGGTGCCCAAAATCAAGTTGCTCGGCAAACTGCCGTCACGCTCAACGTCAGACTTCGCATAGGTATGTTTTCGACCTTGTTACTAAATTTACTCAAACTGGATCTGTTGCAAATTAAAAGCGTGATCGTTGGAGAGTTTCTGATGAAACCGCTCAAGTTTTGGGCCATTTTGGAATAAATCCTAATACTTCATTACGAGAAATTATTGCTACGACTGGTATTCCATTAGGCTCTGTACTGCACTAAACTCCATAAATTTCATCCATTTAAAATGAAAACATTGCAAGAGTTAATCGAAGCTGATTTTGATATTCGAGGTGAGTTTTGTCAGCAAATGATTGTAACCATTAATGATAATACCATTCATATAAAGAATATCTGCTTCAGTGACGAATGTACGTTTTATCTAGATGGATTTGATAATAAACACAACTGCAGATATTGGAGCGACGAAAATGCTCATGCTTTTGTAGAAGTGCTCAGTACCCCCAAAAGATTAATGTAAGGGCAGACATTTTAGTGATTGGGCCACTGTTTATTAATGGAAATTTGAATGGAGACATTTATTTAGCTATGTTGGAAAATACCAATCCGCTTATCAGTGAACTCATTGAAAACCAAGTCGAAGAGGATGGAAACTCTATACTTGATGAGGCTGAAACATGTTTTCAGCAAGACGGCGCTCCTCCTCACTATGCTCTTCCTTTACGGCAATGGCTAGACGACGAGTTTCCAGATAATGGATAGAGGGCCTATAGGATGGCCTGCTAGATCTCCTGATTTGATGCCATTAGACTTGTTTGTATGTATTTGAAATCTATTGCGTTTACTCTCCAAGCTGAAAGTTTGGATGAACATCGTCAACGCATCAGCGAAGGCAGCCATGATATCCCACAACTTGTTTTTAAAAATGTCCATCAGGAATTTGAACATCGTCTATATCATTGTTTGGCCAATAACGCGCAACATTTTGAACACTTACTGAAATAAAAAGTGATATTTTCGTGTGTTTTTATTTTCTATCTGAACAAATTGAGATAAATAAATATTTTTCTAATTTTCTTGAAAACGAATCTACCGATTTTAGAAAATTAAACGTCAAAATAAAGGACTTCGAATGACCTTTCAAGCAAGCTGTTACCCGATCCCCTTGTCTTTAAAAATTTTTAAGAAGATGACTCTGGGTGGCAGAGGGTGAAGAAGTTTTTGGTTCAAAAGTTGTCCCCCTTGACAAATCTTCTGAAGTGTCTCGGCGTTTTTTCTTTTAATCAGTGGTGTTCGATAAATTCGTGCTGGAAAGTTTTCAAATGAACACCCTGTATAATGCTATTATTGGTTGTCCAGATTTTTTAACGCGACGTATTAAGCTCAATGAACCGAGTTTAGCTCTAGACAATCTTTAAAATGTTGTAACGTGACTGCAAGGGCCGACCTCATGCTATACCGATATCAGTAATGTATCTGCATTTTAATAAAATCTCAGCATGCTGATATATTCAAAAGTAAGCTCAAAAAGATTATGTGTGCTGACAGTGATACGATGCCTTCGCGTAATAGGCGGTCTACGCCACCCAGCGCACCCGAACTCCCTCAGCTACGGGCCGCCAGAATACACCAGCGTATAGATATAGAATAGAATAGAATAAAATAGAATAGAATAGAAATTTATTGGTTTCTCAGTTATAAACAAAAACAAAGAAATTTATAACAGAGATAACACGTCATTA